ATTTAAGTAATATTTTAACATAATTATGTGATTTTATTAATTAAAATTTGATTGACCTGCCTGACAACCCAGGCCAAAAGTCCAGGGAATTTAATTTGCTAGCACTATATTTAACCCTGTAACTGTCCAAGTCACCATAAAACCTGTATATGGGGGGTACAGTTTTACTCGGGAGACTTTGCTGAATACAAATATAAGTGTTTGAAAACGATAAATTGTATTACAATGATGATATTTTCAGTAAAAGTGAAATTTTTTGCATTTTTTACATACGAACGCTACTTTCACAGATGATATTACTGTTGTAATATGTTTTACTGATTTGAAACACTAATGTTTGTGTTCAGTGAAGTCTCCCAAGTATAACAGTACAGGTTTTATGGCATTTTGGGAAGTTACACAGTCAAATATAAGACTTGCATTTCAGTTTTTTTTCACATTGAAATTTGCCAGTTTGGTAATGTTGCCTTTGAGACCGTATGGTAGCACTTGAATGAGAATTACCCCCATGATGGCATACTATTTGCAAAAGTAGGTGACCCAAGGTATTGCAAGTGGGGTATGCCCAGTCTTTTTAGTAGCCACTTAGTCACAAACATTGGCCAAATATTAGTTTTTTGCTTTTTTCACACAAAAACAAATATGAATGCTAACTTTGGCCAGTGTTTATGACTAAGTGGCTACTAAAAAAGACCGGACATGCCCCACTTGCAATACCTTGGGTTGTCTACTTTTGCAAATGGTATGCCATCATGTGGGTAATTCTCATTCCTGGGCTACCACACGGTCTCAAAGGTAACATAACCAGTCTGGCAAATTTCAATGTGAAAAAACTGAAAAATGGAACATTCTATATTTGACCCTGTAACTTTCCAAAACACCTTAAAACCTGTTCATGGGGGGTACTGTTGTACTGGTGAGACATCGCTGAATACAAATATGTGCATTTTTTTGCTGTAAATGCTAACAGTATTATGACATTCACAGTTAAGCCATGGCTACTGTAAATTGTCACGCAGAACTAAATTATTTTCTTTTAAATCTTAATTTCGCACACTTTTTTAGATTTTATTCACTTTAATTATGTTTCATATATGAATAGTTCATGAGAAATTAAAGCTCTGTTTCTCCTGAACAAAACGATATATAATAAGTGTGGGTGCACTTTATATAAAAAAGGTGAATTACGGTTGAACAGACATATAGCGCAATTTCCGTTTTTTGTTTACATTTTGTTTTGATCAGAACGTGTGCTATTGACTCCGTACTTAATGGGTTTAAAACAGAGCAACAAGCAGCTTTGTTTTTAAATTGTTGGTGCGATAATTTAAGGAGACATTGGAGGGACACTATAATCTTTCCTTGTAGAGTCCCTGCTGAGCTTGGTCAGTTAATTTTGTGATTCTCTCTGTACCGTGGTGGATTTGTACTTATCCTTTCTTAATATTGTTGGTATAGGTCTTCTCCCTTCTTATTTACTCCATTTGCTATTAAGAAACTTATTGGCAGGATAACTTTATCTAAGTTTTGCTGATTCATCTCCCTCAACATATAATGTTCTGCTAAATCTGCTTTATTGATATTTAATCGTGTGCTGATATAAATATACTACCTTCTATATAAGACTAGTGTCGCTACACTGTAGAGCAAGTGGTGTAACTCCTTATTTAAAATTTTCCTTTGGTTACTGTAATGGAGCTCCCTGTATCCCTGGCTGGGTACCACCGCCAAGGACCGTTTCCTAGCTGGAACAGGGGACAAACCGTAGCACTTCTGCCCACAGTAGCCATGGCTTGACTGGGGCCCTGGAACCGCGCTCTCCTGTAGCCGAATCGGGAACTCGCTCTAGCAACCTCCAGGCACTGGACGACACTCAGTCCTGGGAGCTCTAGTCCTTACAAGGACTTTCCCTGTTGAATCCTCCACACTGGAACAGTGATTAAATAATAGCCCTTTCCCCTCCCAGTAACCAGATGACACATAGTTCTGGGAGTAGAAGCTGAAATACATTTATTGGTAGCCACAACTGGCCTTATATGCAGGTCCCCATGCAAGGGGCACTTCCCCCTGGACCTGAGAGTGCATTGGCTCTCAGGTCCAGGATACTCCAATGCAAAACAAGATAATCCCTCCCCTGTGCCTGGGAGATAATGGAGTCAAGCACTGTATTAAACTTAATTATCCCCAAGCACAAAAAACACATTTCCCATACACCCCAAAAGTACCTTAAAAATGCATAAAACCCCACAAAAGTTACATCCCATAATAGTCCCAATCTGGGTGACCAACATATCAAATAATCACCCAGATCAGTTCAGGGGTTCAGGAATTTTCTGGAAGTCATAATTTGACCGACCGCACGCATGATCCCTTAGCTGAAAATAGTTCCATAGAATCACTGCTAAGTGCCGCTGGGGACCGACCAGGAACCGCGAAGTCTTAAAATAGCTGAAAATAGTTTCAGGTAATCGCGGCTAAGTGCCATTGTAGACCGACCGGGAACCGCAAAGTCTTCATGACGAAAATAGTTCCAGGGCTTTCGCGGCTAAGTCCCCCTGAAGTCTATTCACGGTTTTGGTCCATGCGAACAGCAGCCAGAGAGATAGCATTCGGTTCTATGCGTACAAATGGAAAGTGCCAAACCAGGGGAACAAGGGGGAATAAAATATGGGTCTTTACAGTCCTGAACTGGCCGATAGTCGGAGGGCAGGAGGCTGGCAAGCAGGCTCCTCCAGGAGCTCGTGGCAAACTCACGAAGACAGGGAAGTTTGTCACAGTTACAATTGTAGCATCTCATCTATGTATATAGTTTGTATCTATGCTAGGATGCATTATTTTACAATTTGTGATATTGTATGTTATTTTTTTATTGTGCGGTCCCTGAGGAAGTTCTAGTTTGAACGAAACGCGTTGGACCTATTGTTGTATTTTTTACTTTTATCTTTATGGTGTATTTCACCTTTTAAAGAAAATAAAAAGTATTGGATCTTTGATTATTACCTACCTGGAGTCCCGTGTTCCATTGGCTGCTTCGCATTGGCAAGGGGGACTACTAGCCCCCCATACTATCAGGGGAAGCACCTTATGAACGCTCTTCTTTTACATCATCTTGTGAGTGCATTCATTTAAAGCACACGATCCATTGTATATACTGTATTACACTATTTGTTTTTGTATGTTCTCTCCATAGATTGTATCCCATTTTTGTTTGTGGTTCTATGCATGTGTAAAGATCGTTTGTTGTGGATAACGATTTTGGGAGGCTGCATACTAACTGAAGTTAAGTAACTTACACTATTAGAGCACTGAGTTTGTGGTGTTTATGTTTGTTTTATTGTATCTATGCTATGGCTGATTATTCCTAACAGCACCAATTAGTTTGGAATTTTACTAGCAACTAGTAATTAGTCCTTTCGGTCAGACTGAGGGAGGACGAATACTGGGACAATTTATTATCTATTTTCCTATTATTTGCAAAGCTATACTGTAGACACATTCAGGCTAACTAGTACTTAAAGGAGCAGTGTACTTTTTGGGTATTTGATCTGGAAGCTAGACAGTTTACTGTCTTCATAGAATCATATTGCCTTAATTATGTTTCCGCAAGACCCACGTTAAGACTTGAAAGGTACTCATGACCTTCCAATCATACCAAACTATACATACACAACACACATGAGGTTTTGTGCTCCTAAGGAATTTAATATTATCCACCTAAAGCCTAGAACCATTTTTTTTTTGCATGTATGTCTAATAATTTCATATAATTTAATAAAATTTACTTTTATTCAAGTAAGATCGCCTCATCTTTTGCTTTCACTTTCGGATATTCGTGATTTATTTCCTTTTTTTGTTACTTATAAGTTAGGTTATCCCCACCTTGGTCCGTACTATGCTGCCAGTTATTGGACTTTTCCATTTAAAGAGACCATTCTTGTTTTATCTAATTTAAGACTAAAGCACACTAACACAGCGGGTCATCTCACCATGATGCTTGGTGTTAATGTGTACTTTGGCATCTAATGAAAAAAAAATCCATATCGGTTTATGCACTTGAATGTATTTTATTCCATAGTGCTTATATGTATATGTATATGTTTTTGATATTATGGGAGTGAAATGCCCTCTTATATCCTGACAGTGCCTGCACAACATGACATATGAGGAAATAAAAAAAATAAAAAACAAATGTAAAAAAAACGCTGTTTTATCTCCTTTGTGATGCTTTGCCAGGCAACGGTCTTCAGTTGTTGTTTGTTTTTTGGTCTTTCTGCCTTAATTTTTGTCTTCAGCAAGTGAAATGCATGCTCGATGGGGTTGAGATCAGGTGATTGACTTGGCCATTACAGAAAATTCCACTTCTTTGCCTTAAAAACACCTGAGTTGCTTTTTCAATATGTTTTGGGTCATTGTCCATCTGTAAAGTTTTTTTGCACCCTAAGGATGGCCTGTGTCACTTGCTTTGAGAGCTCCATATGGTGTGGTTTCACAGCAACAGCTTCCAAAAGGGAATGCAACAGCTGGAATCAACTTCAGACCTTTTACCTGCTTAATTGATGAAGAAATAACAAATAAATAGCCCACATCTGTCCATGAAACAGCTTTTGAGTCAATTGTCCACTTACTTTTGGTCCCTTGAAAAGAGGGGGGAACATATTAAAGAGCTGTAATTCCTAAACCATTCCTCCAACATGGAAGTGAATACCCTCAAATTAAAGCAGAGGGACTGCAATTTAAGCCCATATTCATTATTTAAATTGAATTTATGTTGGTAAACAACAAAAATAACAAAACTTGTGTCAGTGTCTAAATAATTTGAGACCTAACTGTCTCAAACAGTACTAGTTGTAATACTCTCTGGGAAATCTTTTTGGAACTCAAGTGCAGATGCAATATTACATTTGATACCGTCACTTTAAGAAAATATTTATTTAAATAAAGAAAATAAACTTTGGCAGTCTTTTGCAGCAATAAGGTTTAGAAATAATAATGCATGAATGATTGTAATCTTGTTTCAGAATTGCATCACAAGAAAATAACATTTATAAAAATAAGGTAATACTTAATTAACAATATAGTCCATAGACTTCAATATAGAATTTGACAGAGCAGGTGAGGTGATTCCTGTTGTAGGGAGTAATACAGTTCTTTAAAAAAAAAAAAGTTGGAAATAAGGCAGATCCTGGTTGAGTAGTGGTAATAGTCCTCTAGACTTCAATAAAAATGAATAACACAAATAATGAATGAGTAATTGGCTTATGGGACTTTCAATTAGAATATGCAAATGAAATCCCAAAGGACAGATTTATTATTCCCTTATCCATCCGAAATAACATCAGGTAAAATCCAATTGTTAATCCCAATAACTGAAGAATTTATCTTACATTAGCTAATGAGCATGAGAGTCCTTCCAGGATAGTGTAGATTATGGTTCCTTGTGGTATGTGGAGAAAGGCAGGAATCCAAGGTAAAGTCTGTTCCAAGTCAGGGAGTGAAGAGTAGAGAGAGCGCAGTCAGGATCAAGCCAGAGAGACTCCGTACACAGGAAATCAATTAGAAAGCTCCGTCGGTATATTGGCAACGAAGTAGCAAGTATGCGAGAGCACATCAAAAACAAACACAACAAAAATGTATTAAGCCATTTGGATGCGGTCGCGGCTTCCTTTTGAAGGGAAGCGTGTGACATCAGACGCATGGGCGGAGACTGATCAGCGAAACCTGGAAGTCATACGAGTAATGACAATCAAACTGAAATCAATGTGGAGGAATTCCGAGACAATATGGAGGAATCCTGACACTACTGCTGTTCTTCCATGTTTAATTTTTATTGGTATAATTTTTTAATATGTGTGTGCAAGTCTACAGTGACAATTGCAGTTTGAATTGGCAAGATACCCCTCCTCACCCTGGCCCAATTGTATCCCATGATTTGGGTTCATTATGGCTTACCAATACCTTGCTCACTAGACCACCTTTCTGTGAATTTCTTGTGAACGGATCCTGAAATCTATATGACATTGCTTTTTTTTCTCTTGTTCTTTATCACATGCTCGCTATGCTCACTTTGGCTGCTATTAGTATATGAATTATTATAAA